AATTTTGACAATCCCCCATGTGAGCTATAGTCTATTATCCTATCCCCCTTAATAACCCGTAACACTCCCCTATGTATTCCCCCATGTAACCCTTTGAAGGGCGCGAACCTTGCATTTGCCCCACATGGCAGTGGGATTATGGAACACAGGGATGTAACGTGATTGCAGGGTTTTATGGGAACTTGCGTTGGGGATTCTGTACGAGAATTATAAAGCAAACGCCCACGTGTGCACAATATTTGGCTGTCCCCTTTCTCCATTCCCCGTGATAGGGGTATGCTTCTTGGCTTGACAGGTATCACCTAGGACGAAGTACCGCTCTGAAGGTATAGCGTTCAGGGTTACCAGTGCTGCCGCATGACAGCCCATGACCCTTGGGTTCCGTTACCATTCATAATTATACTACCTCTCCTCAGGCTCCCACTTCATTAACTGGCTCCAATTACTTTTTTTTCCTGAGCGATGTCCCGAACTCATGGTTTAAGGATTTAAGGATGAATAATAATGTCACCAGTGCCATCAGAGCCCGTTGCTTTTGAGCAAACTGATCAGTTGATGCACTGTGCATAGATCAAGCAGCAAGGATGGCAACCGCAGAGTGATTTACCGGGTTGCTGTTACGGAGCTTAGTTTGAGTCACAATATTGTGGAACCATATCAATTACTATATATGCCCGTTATGGTAACTTAGTTTTAAAGCTTCCAGTACAGTTTCACTTCTTCAAACCAGCAATTGTCTGGTAACAGTTTCTCCTAAGAGGGGTTTTCTGCAGCAGTCTAAGCAAGAGGCGTACTTCCCAACTTCACGATCCATCCCGGTCCATCCATGCCACTACCCCCCCCCAGAATGGCATGACATACGCCCATCGTATGCTCGCGCCAAAGAGCCTTACAGCACCCAGAGAATTCTATGATTTGTACCGTTAGAAGCCCTCGAAACTAACCCTCAAGCCGCCCCAAAAGCAAACCCACCAAGTTTTAAGCCCCTGAACCCAAAATCGCTAAACGCTACCTCCTACATCCCAATATCCTTGCGCCCCAAAAAAGCTTCCACCCCTGACCTTGCAACTCGTCCCTGGCTGCCAGACGCCGCAGACTGGCCAGCCGAGCCAGAGAGGCTTGTAGGAGGACAACCTAAGGAACCTAAATGGGGGTTTCCCAAAATTAGGGGTACTTTATTGGGGGTCCCCATAATAAGGGTTATAGTATATTGGGGTCTATATTGGGGTCCCCTATTCTGGGAAACTACCAATACCTTTATGGTCTAGGGATATGGATACATAGGAGATGAGGTTTATCAGGTTAGAATTCTGTAGGATTTGCGACATATGGTTAATATAGGGATATATCGGGTTTCCAAGGTTATATAGGGTTTACAGGTTTATATAGGTTATATCGGGTTACACACGGTTTCAACTCGGGCAAAAGACTTAAATCATATGAGGTATCCTGGTGCCATTTATGATAATCCGTGCTCTTGATTAATAAGGGCACCCCCCCCCTTAATCAATAGAAAAGCCTTACTATTACAGGGCCCCAGATGGCAGACGGAGACTTTAATTGTAAATGACGTCCATGGCAGCCCCATTGGGGTCCAAGCAAAATCAATATACATTCAATCAAAATCCATTTGAATTTGATTGAAATCGGACCCTTATCTATTTAGGGGTTGGGGATAATTTTCTTTAAATCTATTGGGTTAAAGGCCCCAAAAGTGCCTCTGCCTTTAAAATAGTCTTTGAAGCCCACTGTCGGCCCCGAGAATTTTCTTTGAATCTAGAGAGTTTTTTAAATCTAGAGCACGGATTATTTACTTGGATCACAGAAAGGTACTCTGTGGGCTAAGCCGGAAGGGGAGGTCAAAAATGGGTGGGGTGGTCCAGCCCAAGTTGTTGTTGTTTTTCCGCCCCTCCCGAATTGAGCGGCGCTCTGCTCTTCGCAGGGCTCGGCAACTTATGTGGGTGACTGTCAACATGAGAATCCCTTTCTGGTACCCTAAATGTTAGGAGCCGCATTCTACCAAGCACCCGAAAGCGACAACAAATTTGACCACCTATCATCATAAGGAGAGGAAAAGGGAAACTACAGGGGCACTCCGTGTGGAGTAAGCCGGGATTGTTTCGAGAAACTTCCATA